GTCAAGCTAGACTTGTCTGGATCATCATCCACATGCTTCCATTAAGCATCAATGATCGATCTAGAAGCCATGGTTAGAGTCTTATCCTTCATAAGGATAGATCGCATCGTCAACTTCGGTACAATACCGGTTAACGCTATGTCCTACAGAAAAAGACAAAACAGAACGAAAACACATCTACATGCAGATTCTATCAATGATCTACTACCAGCTAGTCCATCATCAATCAGTGTCAATCTATCTATGATCCACTACCAGCTAGTCCATCATCAAAACAGTGACAACACAGATGTAAAGATAAGCTATATTCCCATAAAGAAAACTAACCCTACAATAATTTTCTATATGGGACTAAGATCCGTATTTCACATAATAACAAGTTGTTACACCTATCCTTATGCTATTTAGGTAGACATCTAGTGTCAATAAATATTTAATATGACTCTTAGATCCTTTATGAGACTATGATACCAAATATCATTGCATACTCGTCTCATCTGTACCATTAAGTCTCAAGTCAAACTTGACAACTGAACCCAAGATAAACCATATTCAAGCTGTAGGAACCACGATTTTCTACCCTGCCTCACAAAGATAATCCGGCACGCTCAGCTTTGGCATGACCCGTGTTACGGACGATCGATGCCTTGACATTCGCTCTAGTAATGGGAGGTACACACTTAGCATTACATGAATAAGGGATTTTCGAAACCGCACCTAGATCAAGCATCTACTTTCAAGCTATGAGAACCACCATTTCTCCATCTTGCCTAACCAAGATAATACGGCACACCCAGCTTTGGCATGGCCCATGACACGTACGATCGAGGCCTTGACAAGTGCTTTACTCATAGAGCTTCTAGATCTAACCGGTTTCTGTGCAACGATTGTACATATCAAGGATCAACAATTATTCCTTGATCAGATGTATTACATAATCTGAATAGACCAACCATTCGATTATGTAATCCCAATCTCGAAGCTCCCACTCAATCAAGCATATCCAATATCTTGATTAAGTTACATGCATTCATTCACTATGGACCATCCATAAGAATGAATCATGTCTATTTGAGTCACAGTTGATCAGATTAAGCAACGATTGCACAATCGGATCAGAAAA